GGTAACCCCAGCAGCACAACACCTGAACGATGCTACGTGGGGTCGCAAGCTGCAAAATCTCATCAATGCGCTAAGAGGTTATGCGATAGCTTGCATGCAGTTGTTCCCAATCGTTCCGATCCCTAAATAACTCTTCTTTCGTTTACGTCATCACTTGGATGTAGATATTTTTACAAGCGGCATATGTCCACAGCGTTTTAATTCAACGATGTCACCACACAGATATTCATATATCATATTGGATTTATGTCAAAATATTCGCGCAGATCTAAGTACCGCTGATGAAATCCTTTGCACGAAAGGGAGTGTTCCACCTTGTATTAGGCTTGAACTGAAAAATCGATCATGAAGACCATTCGGTGCAGTTCACAGCCCTGCCCTTCTTTAAACCTACATTCCAGCATTTTCTTAGGTACACGCCCGTTACTGTTTTGGGAAGATTATTTCAAGGTCATCCAGGCATTCGTGACGCTTTAACAACGACATTTGAAGCCTGACATTCTGTTAGCAATACGGTGATTAAGGCCGATATTGATGCGGTGATCAAGGCAAAAAATTGTTGTCGAGTTGTTCAGATCTGACGGTTGTGAGTACGATTTCTAGATATAACAGCCGGCAATTGGCTCCTAATCAATGTCGTGCAAGGAACGGCGACGTAAGCAAGTGATGACGCATTGAGGAGCACATTTACTTAACAGAGAAATGCTGTCGTCCAGAGCAGCCTTTTTCGCTGAGAAGTAGACCAATAGTTACAAGTGAGCTCATTTCATCATATCTGATGCTCGCTAAAATATCTTCAGGTATGGAATATTCCCATTAACACTTCCGCATTTGCGCTTCCACCCCGCTGAGGTTCCTAACATTTCCCGCACGTTTCCTTAAGATGGCGTCCCACATGTGTTATGTAATGTTTCCACTCGCCGTCACTCGTAAGGTGCAGACTCCGTGGTGGGCGCCCACCTCGAGCATTGATCTGTCCACCTTCCTGAGAGTTTGTGATGATGCCTTCGCAAATCTGTCGAAATAAAGGATCATTGCTGCCACCAGGAAGCATGCAACCGTGTGCGACACCCACCCCCTCCTCTCTCCTCCACTGGTGACGTCCCCGGCCCGTCTCCACGCCATCCCACACACGCCACCACGGCCCTGCATGTCCTGCACGCTACTTCGTCTTTGACCCCCGCCTCAGGCCATGAACGTCCGGGTCAAGGTCAGTGCCGTCGTCGTCCCGTCGGCAATCAAGATCGCAACTGAGCTAGAGCTCAATATATCACCCTTCCCCAACGGATTAAACCTTGCAAGACGAATCAGATGCCAATATCAATTGACCTTTCTGAGGCCACAGATGAGCGGATGACAGCACGGTGAAATTTGGCATCACTGGCAATGCGTCAACTGGGTATCGTTTACGATAAAATGGTGACAAGCTATGCCAGGCCACAGACCAGTCAAATCATCCCTGAAGGATCTCGTAACCATTTTTACAATGCCATTGTATCGCTGTTCGTCGTGAAACGAACTCGAATTCTGGACACAACTCCAGCAGCGAATGATACGCAAGCACTTCGGCGACGTTGGATTGCGCAACCACCTTGCTTAAAATCACACATATTCATTTCACTCTGTTGACTGCGTGTATCCTTATATCATTCCTAGACAACTTTTGCTCCAAATTCGGCACAGAATCCTGTGCAAAATTCCTCTGACGAGTACCATTTTTCTCTAAAAGTCGTCATTTTACACCTTGTCTTCGTAAGCATCCTCATCGGAGCCACCAACTGATCCCAAGTGGTAAAACTGGATATCACTAGATTACCTTATCACCCAGCTAGCCATCGGCTGTCGTTTCGTGGCTCTTAATTGGAGAAATGGTCCATTCGGAAGTGGGTAGCTCTTCCGGCACGTCAATTTCCGGCCTATGTTGATCACGTAAGAAAACAAGGGTGATCAAAATGTGACCTGATTTATCTCTTCAGCTCAACATAGACTGACAAAGTTGGAAATCATAAAAGAGATCACAGAAGTGTTGGCTTCCACACCTCTCTTTGCCAAGCCTCTCTTGGCCACGTACGTCATTTTTGGAGCGTGCATTGACATACGGTTTGCTACTGTGTATTTCTTATAGAGAATGTTTCACATTTGAAGATATTGAAGGAAACATCATATATGGTGAAATAAGCTCACTTATAACTATTGGCACACTCCTTAAGTACAAAAACTGCTATAGACAGCACAATTCTCTGTTAGGCAAATGTCTCCTCAATGCTTCATGGTTTGATTATGTCATCGTACCTTGCACATCATTTATTGAGGGCCTACTGACGCCCGTTTTATCTGGAATCGTGCTCACGGCCGCCAGGTGTGAACGCCTCGACAATTATATTTTTACCTTGATCGCCCCATGGCTTACAGAATGGCAGGATTTCAACGACGCTATTATGACGTCATGAATGCCAAGGTGGCTTTGAAATGCTCCCTCCGATAAGCCTTTTCCAATTTTCGTGAGCGTGTAGCTCAGAAGCTGGAATGGCTTAGGCCTTAAAAAAGACAGGACTGTGAACAGCACCGAAAGGTCTTCAAGATAGCTTTTCCAGTTCAAGACCCCATATTAGTGTGAAACACTCCCTTTCATGCGTCGCTGGAGGCGGATAAGGTACGGAATTGGCATGGCTAAATTCATTGTTCTGCGATGCAGAGCAAACAAAATGCGTGATGCGATGCAACACGTCGTTTCTTTTTCTGGTGAACCACTTCAATTTTTTCAAGCCACCATAGACCTGTTTAGCGAGCGTTGGTTTTGTTTCTGACAAAAAGAGATACGCAGCAACAAACATGTCAGAAAAACAAAAACTAGCGGCACAATCCGACGTCCAATCGACAGGCATGAAATTGGAGGAATCTAAACAGCTAACCTCAGAAAGCGCTAATGTGTCCCACGCTACTTGGGTCGACGACTACATTGGTTTTGCAATCTATTTTCCCATTTTGTGTGTCCTACATTTTGACCATTGCGAGATGTCGAGGGCATCTGCCGCAGGAATTTCAGAGGAAAGATATTACAGCCCAAGAATGTGTGGAAAAGGTCGAGGAAGAGGAGAACAGGAAGGAAAGAAACAGAGCGAACGGGCGAGAGAGAGAGAGGGAGAGAGAGAGAGAGAGAGAGAGAGAGAGAGAGAGAGAGAGAGAGAGAGAGAGAGGGGGGGGAGAGAAAGAGAGGGACATGAGCAGGGCATGTATCAGTACTTCTGTACAGATATTTCAAACTAACAGTACATATATATCAAAGCACAGATCGAGCGAGAATTCGAAATGACATGAGCAAGGCATGTAGCAGTACCCGGATATTTCAGAGCATAGACCGAGCGAGAATGCGAAATGGCATGGGCAAGGCATGTAGCAATACCTGGATATTTCAGAGCACAGGCCAAGCGAGAATTCGAAATGTTGTTTTCTGCCGTAAGGAATAAGTATACTCTTAAGAAAGTCCTGTACGAAATACGGAGACCTCAATCCACCATACAAAGCAAAAAAACACTGGTAGGTGTAGCACTAACAGTGTAAGCGGTGCTGTGGCACGGCAAACAGTGAGCACAAAGAAACATCGAGGTCGTAACCATTGCAAAACGTTACAAAGCTCCATCCACTGCTGCAGCCCATCAGCTTTCAACGCGCCTTAACACAACCTGATTTTTCGCACACAAGTCCTGCAACCTTCTGCCTGGAAGCTAGCTTGGAATATGCAACAAGCCGAAAATGCAATGTTCCAGTCCATTTTTACATTTGGCTTCTCATACCGCCTCGGCCCAGCAGCCACAGACTACACGAACTGCGCCCGCGAAACCGCACATGATAAACTACATGCTAAGGCTGCTGGTAGCTGGTAGGTAGCTGACTTAGCAAACCGAACGATTGTATTGTAGTCTTGCGAAAGATGTCATCACCAGTCCTGATGCCTTAGAATATCTGGGCAATATCTCGTGATCTGCATATTTCGCCCATTAGGCACGTAATGGCCGCTTCAGATCATTTTCGCATGAAGGGAGTTTTTTATTCGGAGTTCTTGTAAAATTCATTTTTCAGCTAAGTGTGAATTTGACCAGAAGAGATTGGACCAGGCACGTGGGATCTGAGCAATTCACACAAGCCATAGTTATCAGTCAAAGCAGATACGATATCGGTCTTTCTTTACTGAAAAATACAAGCACTTCAAAAATATCACTTTTAGAGCTCCTGACCAGTGCTCAGTCACCAGGAATACAACTCCGCTACGGATTCAACCCCACCAACAGAACTCAACGATCACCATTGTGCGCGTCGAAGCGATCCGTATGTTCGGTCTTTTTAGTGCATGTTTAATCCGAACCTTTTCAATTGGGAGCATTTTTGGGATCACAGTTTACGCTAAGCCGTGCTTGGTTTCATATCTTCCGTCCCGCCATCCTATCGTGGAACTCAGAATCGACGACATAATGTAATGGCGAAAATTTTCCGTCCCGCAATGCTCGGCCCTGCCCATCGGCTGTGTGACCTCATCTGACACAGAGCGGCCGCTGCTACCTGCCGCAGACTATCATAGTAAGGACGGGTGGCGACGGTGCGTCGCACATCGAAGCCGGACCTCGTAGCGCATCGGTCAGCAGGCGGGGCAGTGACCGACAGAGCCACAGAGCCGTCAAATGGTTAGTAGGCGGGGCAGTGACCGACAGAGCCAGGCATGGCTCTGGCAGGCATGCCGAGACACCTTGACATTTGAGTGTTGCTTGCCTTTTCATTTCAGTGGACTAGGTGGACGTCCGCAGGCTACCCAATGGGATACTGGCGCAGAAGGCGAACGGGTCTCTGCCGAGGTACGCCAGTCGCCCGGTTTGTGGGCGGGGCATGCTACAGGCCAGTCGTCAGGCGGTGGCACTACCGACAGCCTCAGCCAATCCCTAGGTCGTGGTTCAGCGGCCACATCCTCTCCAGACTGTGGGCCGTTGCCTCAGCCGTGGATTACTCACCAGAGAGCAGGGTCAGCATGTCAGCGACTGCCAGGTTGAACAGGTACATGTTGGTAGCCGTCTGCATGTACTGGTTGTTTGCAATCACCAGACACGTGCTCACATTGCCAACAACGCCGCACACGAAAATGAGCGAGTAGAAAATAGTCATGGGAATGACTGTCTTCAGCGGCAGGTGCTTGGGGCCCAGGTTATCCTCCACGAAGGCGGCGATGTCCAGCAGCGGGGCCGAGCCGTTGGCCGCCGCGAGCTCAGCCATGGTCGTGTCGTCCGTCTGGCACGCGCGTCGTCCGCCTGGCACGCGCGCTGCCTCCACGCGGTCGCCTTCCCACTGTTCTCCGGCGACCCGTCAAGGCAGCCTCACGCGCCCCGTCCAGATTTAGTTCCCGCCGGCGGAGCGAGACCTAACCCGCGCGGGGCCGCCGGGCGCCACCGGCGCCGATCCGGTTCGGTTCGATCCGGGCCGTTCCGGCCCCCGCCCGCCACCGCCACCGCCACTGCCACCGCCGCCGGCCGTCCAAAGCTCCGCGTACCGGCGCCAAACTTGCGACTTGCCCGTGCCGGCGCTGCTGGGACGGCCGTTGCCAGCGACGCGTCCCACGCACCCCCTGCTCGGCGCGGCGCCGGCCCGAACTGACGCCGGTCCGGACGCGCCGACGACGTCAGGAGGGAACGGAAGCGCGGGGGTGGGGAGGGGGGGGGGGGGGCTGCGCCGTGGACTTGCTCGGTGCACCGAATCGGTCTTTGGGCGTCCTGAGACGTGGGCGCGTCTCTGATCTTGAGCAGTGCCAAATGAATTGGCATCCCGGAGGATACTTAAGATGGGATGAGTGGGTGGTCTCTGCACAGATTTTAATTCTATGAGACCCCTGCGAAGACTAAGTTTAGTTGAAGACAATTGTTTGAGATTGAACGTTTTTGCATGTTTTCATCTATGATGCTGTACTGACATGGTGCAGAGAAATGTTGAGGATCCGTGAAATAACTTCCCGAAATGTACATCATCATGGTACTTTCATTTCGAAGAATCCAAACAAATATATTGTCGCGGCGCATATTTGTAGGCAAGCTGTCACGACAAAACTTACAGAAAGGGGTACATCAGTGTGCACAACTTGATTTGAGACCGTTGAGAGAGTGGTGTGTTGAATGCAACCACGTTCATCTTTATTGAACATGGTATAAAGCATGGAAGCATCGTATCTGTTTTTGGGCGCGGAAATGACTTACAAACCGACATCTACAATATTTTGAGAGCATAATAATGATATACGTATGATTTTGAAAACAAGCCTTCCTTATCCGAGATCGGACTGGAAAAAAAATTCTGGGTTTGTGGATACTAGAAGAGATATGCATATGTGCCAACCATAGGCCGATACTCGCGCACAAGTACCTAATCACTTTTCCCCGTAGGCCACCAAAATCCTATTTCTGAAAGCTGGCAGTCGGTTCACGGTACATTGCTGACCAGCTTGTCATTGCTCCTTCGTTGGGGAGAAACCGATCTTCGACACAAAGATCGGTTTAAATTTTATTAAGCATATAGTTTGTTAGATCGTCTACCCACCTGTTAAACGCCGCATGGCTGTATGTGACCCCAGATTTGATACGCCTTACTCAGGTCTCGCGACCTGGAGCACTTATCGCTTTGCGCGCGCGCGTCGGTGAAGTTACAATCTCCCGACCACGTAATGGCGTAAAATGACGGCTGCAGCTGACGCGCCCATAAAACCAAAACACCATAGCATACATATTTACCATCTCTGAGCGTCTAGAGAACATGTTCATTGGCATATCACGCTTATAGCATAATCATCCTTATCACGAACCTAAGGAACCAGGCCTTCGAATTATTTGGTCCTGGGCGAGCGGGAGCTATTTTAACTCCTGTGCCATGCAACAGATGTGGACTGTGTCCCTTTCTACTCCACTTGGCCGGCAAATGAGCTAGAGACACAAAAAATACTGCTCGAGAGTTCGCTGTCTAAGATATCAAGTGCATATTGTTCTGTCAAACCAACTAGCGATTCAAACGACTGTCAGGCAGGTCAGCTCTGTCTTAAAGGAAGTGTTCCATATTTGTCGGAGGTTTTGAACTGAAACGGACATTCTAAAGATCATTCGGCGCAACGAACAGCTCTGCCGTTTTTAAGTCTCAAAGCTCTCTGGTTTCTGAGCAAGACGCCCAACGAACATGCGCAGACTATTTCGTGCGGAGCGTTTCAAGATCACCCAGTTATGCATGACGCCTTAGAATTGTCGTGCGAATAGTGCCACCTCACTGGCCACATAGGACTCAAGTTCACGCAAAACATTGCCATCAAACTATTCGCGTATTGCATGCGTCAGCACGATTTCTGACGTCATCGGACTTAAGTTCCCCACTAACCAGTTTGATGCGCTTCACGTAAGCATCGAACACGGACCCTGTGTTGTGTATAATACAGGAACTTGGTGCTTAGAGATGCTTAATGTAATCATGTACTTGGTTATGGCGTCTTCGATGCCCGGGTGGTCTCGAAGTAGTCTCCTCGAAATGAGGTGTACATCCTCACGGGCGTGCTGCTCAGAAACACTGGTAGGTAAACACTTTGCTGCTCAGATGTTTTTAGGCCTTAAGAAAGGCAGGGCTGTGAACTGCATCGAATGATCTTCAAGACGGCCACCTCAGTTCAAATCCCCAGACGACAGCACGCCTTGAGGCAGGCGTGCCTGCCAGGCAAGACATGGCAGCACGGGCTGGAAGTGTTCGCCGAGCCAAATATTGTAATTTGCTTGCGTTTCGACCCTTTCCCGTGATGTTCTCGTATATTTATCCCTAAGTTTAATATGTTTAACTGAATTCACTCACACGGTTATGGCGCTACTTGTAATTTATCCGATTGCATGTTTTATTTTCGTAATAAGAAGCATGAGAAAAAACCATGTCCAACTTCTATGAGCCAGTTGACGTCCACGTCCACTATATTTGGAAATCGTGCTCATGAACGCCAGACCTGAGTGGCTCGATAATATTCAAACTGGCCTTGTACGCCGCCTGGCCTACGGCCTGGTAGGATTTGAATAGCGTTATGACATCACGCATGCCTGAAATAAATTGCCACATTGCCGCGGGTGTGAGGCTCAGAAACTGGAGGATTTTCGTTCTCAAGACGAGCAGGGTTTCGAACCGCAGCTAATGATCTTCAAAGTGGCTGTTAAGTTAGATCCTGATGCAAACGTGGGACACTTCTTTTAGAAATAGCGCTTAAATCGAGTATGCGAAAGCAAATAAGCAGCATAAAAGTACGAATAAATACGCAAGAAGACCACAAGGAAGGGCCCAACATGCGAACATGAATGTAGTTGGCTTCTGCACACAGCCCACCGGTCATTGCAATGCTGAGACAGTGAGAAAAATGCAGGCGGGATCATGTGTCTCATACTGTCCTGCGTGCCGCACGTGAGCTTTGTTACTAGTCGTTATTTTGGCAGCCCGGTCGCTCTTCATAATGTCAAACACGAGAAACCTGCCAATATTCTGGCACGCATCACTGACGCGCTCGTGTTCTCCTACGTTATTTACCGCGCTCAGTCTTGTGGTAGTGCCAACAGCACGGTGATTACCAAGTTGTAGAAAATGTTTAGCTTTGTAGCTAGGGCGATCTCAGCACGACGTAAATTTGACCATGTGTCGGATTTGTTGTGATGGTGCGACCGCACTAGTGCTCAAAAGATTATTCATTCCTTTGAACGATGTCTTTTACACAAAGCATTGACCAACGAGGAGCCAGGAACTTCACGTTATCAGGTCCTTTAAACTATCAAAGCTTCTAGCGTAGAATTTGTCAGTCTATTCATATCGCTCTTCCCCGTCCAAAAAAGCAACATGGAAAGAGAGCGTCCGACTACCAAGCTTTGTATATGAACAATCACGTCATCAGCAACGACGTCGCGGACCTGCCTCTCTTTACTTTCAAGACCCGTGTCCATGACATTCGAAATTATCTGACATTTCAACCAGTTGCATCTGGCTGTTTAACCTCTTGTGTATGCGTTTTTGGTACCGTGGTTATGCTTGTCACCTTGGGACTTTCTATTACGGTGGGCTCTTTTTCCAACTTATTTTGTTATCAATGGCTATAGGTCAAATTCTGATTCGTCGACACATGGCGATCACGAATCAAGCCATAATAACACATTTTGAGAAGTTTTCGTGATGGCGAAGCCGAAAAGTTTACGGAGCGAAACACAGATGTTTTTTGCCACATTGGTTAAATCCGTTAGAACTTGGAAATGAAAAATTATTAAAAATACCTGCCAATCAAATCACTTATTGTCTACAAAATGGCACCGCTGAAACCAGTCTGTCTCTTTTTTATTTTCACTGCGCACGAACAAACGTTTCAAAGCTCGACGCTTAGCGCCTCGGACCGATCATGGATGGCTCTAGTGTTGGTCGCCCTCGCCACCCGCTAGGCGGAGCTCTGTCCCGCAGGGGCCTTCTGGAGTTTAGGACAGAGCGTAGCCACTCACTGCACCTCCCTCCGACCCACCACTCGTTTCCCCCTCCCCCGCCCCCCGCCTCTCCCAGGGCCCCATTCTGGCCTAAGCTGCCTAAGTGCATGACTTGGCAGCTGCTGTTTCTGCATGCGGCGCTTAGCAAGGATGTTCAGCGCCTTGCCGTCCTGCCTGTCTGTCCCCAACACCGTCACCACCGCCTCGATCGTCAGTTTGACGGATCTCTCGGTTGACTGTGTGTGACAGGGGACGCCTGTGCTAAGGGGAGTGTCTACAAGAGCGGCCAGCTGCACCGATGTGAGCCCAAGCGTACAGGGTGGCTCGATGGGCAACTTCCCGCTTCTGATAGTCTCCATCGTCGTGCTCACTCCATGTAGCTGTGGATATTACTTGCGTTGAACGGCCAGAGATGGCGCTGGCGTCCAAGGCGTTGCTAGGGGCAACGATATTTAAACAGTCTTGTGAGACCTGTATGTCCTTGCTTGGGAGTCGTTACCAAATCGTGTATAGAGGATTTTTCAGAATGCTTCTGTTTACTTGGGGTATTTTTGACTTTTTACACTTTTTGGTAATTAATGAGTGTCGGTCGGCGTGAGGCACAGCCGCAAACAGTTTTTAAAGTAGTGCCGTATGACCTGCCCAAAGGCAAGCTTCCCAGATGTCGCGATGTTATCAAACGATTACTGAAGATCCAAGCGCAAAAAAATGACGGAGCTAAACAAGGGTGAGAAACAAATGTCAGTCAAGGAAATAGTAAAAGAAGAGGCGAATGAGACGATTGCCGTTTGGGAGCGGGCACCTATTCCCACAAAGGACATGAACCGTACGAGTTATCTGATCAACAAGCTGTGGAAGGAGACGGTGTCGGCTCGAAAGACGAAGGTGTCCAGCGGCGGCCAGTCAGCTGAGCGGCTTCAG